TATATATATATTTCAAATAGAATAGTAAAATAAATGGTTTGTGAGGAAATAAAATTATAATTGAATGTCATCACAGGTACAGTATGTAATACTGCAGTTTTTTTTACCACAGACGTTATTGTCAAAGAGAGAGATACTTGATTTAGGGACGGCTTCTCATTCACTCTAGACTTGAAGCTGTACCAGGAGACAAGTGGTTGGCGGGGAGGTCTTCCTAGATTTTACTGGGCTGTTTTAAAGAGATTGTGTACTGCAGAATTTATGTGAATAACCCTCTGAGGCCTGGTATTTGGAAATGAAGGATGGTTTTAGTGCTGAGGCCTGAAATGCAAATTGCCCTTTGAAGAGGCATCTGGGGTATTTCATTACTATGGCAAAGATAAACAGTCCTCTCCCTCTCACTGTATCAAGTGACCTGAACCTCAGCAGAGTCCTTCGAAATGTCACATGAAGTGGTGGTTTAGCCGGGTTTTGTGTCCATTTTTTGTCTCACATCAGTTGTAATAATACTGGGGTGCATCAAAGATCAAGGTTGTAATTAAAAGTCTGAAGTGCTGTCGCTGGTGCTGTTATTACTCCATGCAATCAGTTCCAGTGTAGGGATGCAGCGATTAACCGGTTTCGCGATTAACCGCGCTTTAAAACGTCACGGTTAATTAATCGTAAAGGTTCCGCTAAACCGAGGTCCAAAAGAAATGTAAAGAATGTACAAACTGAAAACATTAAATACTTTTGCGATCTATTTCCATTTGTTATTTTCAAAAGAGAAATACTGTCATGGATGTTTACAGAGCAGAGGTCACCTTTTTTAATTCCAATGGGAGAGATGGACTTTTGTTTGTCTTTTTTATTATTATTTTTTGCTGTATTGTTGGTTACTGTGTTATTTCTGTTTCAAAAGCCAGCAATAAATAACACTTTAATGTCTAAAGAGTGTTCATGTGATTTTATACATTAGTAATGTTGGGAAATTAATAAATGCATAATAATCGTCATAATCGTAAAACCGTGATTATTCCTCAGACAATAATCGTACCAACAAAATCTATAATCGTTTCATCCCTATTCCAGTGTTACTCTAATTGTGTGCTTAATTTAACACAATGAGGCATGTTAAAAAGTCTTCACCAACTGCACTTACCTGCCATTCCTGCTTTGGTTTATGGTTATAGATCACGTATAGTCTCATTTTATCTACTTGATACTTTTCATCTTCAAAGAACTGAAACAAAAAATGAATAGTTTTAATTTCAGATTGTTTCAGAAAATATCACACTGTCATGGTAGATTTGCAGCATGTTTACATTCAGCATGGTTAAATTATCATTTAGTCACTTAGGCCCGGTTTCACAGACAGGGCTTAGACTAAGCCAGGATTAGACCATAGTTCAATTAGGACATTTAAGTCATTTTTATAAACATGCTTATAAAAAAGCATTACTGGTGTGCTTTTTGAGACAAAACAAAGGCACTGATATTTTTTAAGATCAGTCAGTGCAAGTTTCTTTCAGTTGAAACAGCTCAGACTTACATTTTAGTCTAGGACTAGGCTTAAGCCTTGTCTGTGAAACCGGGGGCACGTGTTACTTAGTCACATTTTTACATATACATTTTCAGTTGGATCGACATCAGAACATTGAGCGGGCTATTGCAGCATGTTCCTGGGCCACTCATTTGCATTTTTATTTGCATCTGCTAGGCCTACTGTTTAAGATGCACAATATCAATGCTGATTAAAAGCTGTCTAAATCAGAGTTTTATACCCCAGACTTCAGATCAGTCACAACCACTAACTTTGTACATGGATGTTTCTATTTAATAGCTTCTTTTGTTACACCATCACCACCATACAGACAAGTGTTCTGGAGGGCTGTTGATATGGTTTACTGGTGGACCTTGACTGCAGTCTCCATGGCTTACAACTCATTATTGGCTTCTCTATGGCTTCCCTACCAAGTCTTTATCTTCTGTTTGAAGAAATTTGATTGACAACCTGTTGTAAGCACAATCTTCAAGGAATGCTCTTTGAGCCTTCAGAGTGTCCTTCAGTGTCTTTCATAATAATAATCCCTTATAACTGAATTATCCAGAAAAGTAGATTCATATTTTATTGACACCTGAAACTTGCAAGAAACTTGAAAGGAAAAACTTGCACAAAATCCAACTTGATGGCTAAATGACAACATTTAATGGCTTCATCCTTGAGTTTTTAACCTTGTTCAATTTTTACCATGGTACAAAACCTGTTCAGAGCCATAGAATATTTCCTGACAACCAGAAGACAAATAACACCAAGTTTCCACTGTTTCACTGTGTTCCTTTTGAAGATTTGTCTTTTGGAAGGGTTAAAGTCACTTATCAATATTTTAATGTAAATATTTAATGAGATGTTAATGTGGTTTACAGGATATTGAAATGATTCTGCTGGCAAATTATAGGCCTCAAGCATAATTTCTCTCTCATCTTTTACTGTGAGATCTCAACCTGTTTTTTTTCTCTATGGCTGCATCGGTGTAGAACATTAGAGTCAGAGTTATGGTAATGTGTAATGACATAACACCCTCATGTTTTTACACAGCACATTATCATCTTGAAAATTGAAAATTTTCACAGATTTTTTTTTTTCATTAAATTGGGAAATGGATGGGTTCTGTGTGGAGTGTGGGGTACATTTGCCATGTTTTGACGTTAGACTAACTTTTAAACCTATCAGACAGAGACACCGGATTAAACACAAACCACTCCAAGCCCTAAAGCTGAGCTCTGAAAGGTTTTCTGACAAAATTATAGGGTTGGATAGGTGAAAATGTAAATGTCTCTACATTAAATTGGTTCTCAACTGCAGTGACCATAATATCATATTGTATCATCTGACCTTCTAAACTTTATTTTTCTCCCTCTAGCCTAAAAAATCAGCTGTGTGTCCAGTGAACCAATAGGAAAAACAAGATGATTGGATTGATGTCAGACAAGCTGTGATCAGCTTGCCCAGGATGTTCTGCCTCTATTCTGTCCTCCCTTTCTCTCCTTCTTTTACTCTGTTGTCTTACTCTCAACTTGACTGCAAAAGAAGATTGAAGATCCTCTTAAAGTCAGCCTTTAGTCATCCCGAACCCTTCCTCTTCCTCCTAGCCTCCTCTACAGCAGCTCTGAATCTCTGGAAGAGAGGTGACTTCATCCAGTGACACCCATCTGGTACTTATTCTGTTATCACACCAGAGGTTTATATAGCTAATCTCAGTCAGTTGTTGTGTGCATGACTGAATACTGTATTTGTTGTCACTTTCTCAGCTAAGCAATATTTGTCCAAAATCTGCCAAATTAATAATAAAAAAATAACATAAAACTCTATAGAATGCACTCTATAGAAATTTGTCCACATTAATTGTTTTATTTCTCTCATTTTTAATGCACTATTTGTTGTTTGTGTGCAAACAATACACATTATACAAATACCTATGTGTTTTTGGCCCGAAAATATGGGCATTTGGGGCAGGGTTCTATGGAAACAAAATTTATTAAATGTGTTTGTTGTATGTATGTGTGATCTGTAGATAGCTGTTTGATGAATGGGCATTTGAGAATATTTGTAAGCTAATGTGAGCCTATTCAAATTTCTGGTCTGGTTTTTATTACATTTTTGACGTTTTGAACAGAATGAAGTTATAAATGTCTTCAGAAGAAGATCGGAAAACAAAGATCAAGCAGCTAATCCTTCATACAGTTGTCCATGAGTTATTTGACATGCCTGTTTCCTTTTACATGTCACAGCGAAAATTAGAAGGTGTACAAATTTACTGTAATAATTGTTTTTTTTTTTAATATTCTAACAATACTTAAAAAATTAAAAAATATGATTATTATTTAAAAAGGTATTTTAAAAGATAATATAGTTATTCAATGGTCATTATTCGTTTACACTACCTGTAGTTATATTTGTTAAAAAAGTACCAATTCGAAGGTTTACTTTAAAATTGAATTTATGAATTTATGACTTTTGATTGCATAGCTCTTTGAAATACTTAATTCTGATTGGTCAATTTTTGCATTCCAATGTCAAATATTTCTGCATATTGCCCATTGCCTATGACAACAATGTATAACTGATCACTCATCCAGGTTTTCTTTGCTCTGTGTTCATGGTCTATTTCTCTGTTGTCTCTACAAGTGAGCGAATAGAGTCATTTAAACCCAGATCAACTCAAAAATATGTATGTTAATGTAAGTACAGGTACATCATCATCTCAAAACAAGCTCCTTTATCAGATGAAATTTTCACTTTTTAGCGTTTTTTTGTTTGTTTTGCATTTAGTTAGGTTTCTGGCATGTCTGCCAGTTCAGAAAAGCTGAAAACACAGCCAGTTTGTTATGGGCTGTCTCAGTCTGAAACTGTGTCATTCAGCGAGAAGTAAAAAGGGTGTTGTTTTAAATGACCACTGAGGAATTTTAATGAAAATATGTTACAAACATTTCATGAACACCCTAAATAATCATACCAACTTGTGGAAAATGGGCATCCGATGTCCCCTTTAAAGTGATAAAAGACACCTGACAGGGTTAAATTTTTCATGATAAAGGTTGACTGCCCATTATCCCTTATTTTACTTTTTATAGAAAGATGTCAATGTTTATTCCTTCGTACAATCAAGAAATAGCAAAATCTCTTAAATGACTCATAATGTGAAGAAACATTTGATCAAAGCCAGAACTCTAGATCAAAACGGAACATATTTAGCAGAGTGTGGTCGGACGTAATCGGTCCTAATATATATAAAAATTTTAATATTAACAAAGAACAATTCAGTGCACAAATAATCGCCAGCGCTCCGTCATAAAGATGGAAGTATCCATTTATGCATTGTTTCATTGGAACTAGTGTGTGTTCCCTTTAAGAGAGTAACTTCCTGTTCTCTCCCTTTTTGTGCTCTGGGTCATGTGATCAACTGTGTCTGAAACAAAATAAAAGGCACTTCAAATCACTTCGTTTACATTGTCTTGATTTCTACCTTCATTAGGGCATTTACAGTAGATATGCTCAGTGGTAATTTCTCTGTGCGTCATCATTTCCTAATTTGAGCTGCAAAGAGTGGCACAGGTTTGTAATTCACTCTGCAGGGAGTACAAGTCTTCATCAAATATAATTAACATTCAGGCATCCTATTTCTGACACTAATTACGCTGCAGCATGACATGAAATTGCCTGCCAAAATCCCACTATGCTTCCAATACTTCACCTTAGATAATAAAAAAATATATCTATCCTCCTTTTCCTCTCAAAGTACCGATATTCAGACAACCATGTTCATTCCAAGCACCTCTCCACCTTCAGTCTCTCTGCGAGTCAAAGCTATTTATTTCATAATGAACTTTTCTAATGAAACGTTCCAATGCTGTGCCCCCCTTTCACACATTCTGACCCGTAGAGATAGATTATTCTAATTAAGTGATGCCGGCAATGGCAGCACCTCATCAGAAGGCCCGAGTCATTAATTCTGCTCATGAGGAAATTTAAATAATGGAATGTAAATGAGGAGTTCTCCCAAAAGGGAGCTGACTTTGTGGAGATGTTAATGTGGGCAAATGACAATGTGTAATAAAGCAGCTCTGTCCATCTCAAGAGTCCAGTGACTGGCCTGAAAAAAAGATATAACATCCCTAAGTTCAATGTGAAAGCTTTGATGTGCTTTCAGTCCCACAGGTGTACTTACAGGATGGCAGAGCTATCTACGTCTGCCTGATTGTTATTTTTGTATACAGGTAAGTGCCTTTTAGGGCCCATAGACCGCAGCTCACCAGAACCATAAATAATCCATTCCTCTAAGCCCCTGTTCTGTGCCCTTATGCTGGAAAAGCAGATCTATGGGAGGCCTGTAACAGTCAGGGGTATCTGTTTTTCCACATTTGTGTTTGCAAAGGATATCCACTTTGTGGAGAGCTACAAAGATCGGGAAGTCAAAGCAAGCCAACCGTGGATGTATATAACATGAAAAATCGTCCAAAACCATAACATGGTTTTTCACTACTAAATAACTGCATATGTGCATGCAGTATGAAAACATGACCGAAAGTGTCTTGCTGGTGCACAGCTCAACAATAACAATGGCCTGAGGCTCCAGCTGATGGAACAGTCACGTGTGATTATGAATTCATGGAGTTACATTACAGCTCTATACTTTCCAGAACACAATATTGAAAAAATATAAATATTTCTAGCAAATATATATTGCAAAAAAATAAATATAGATCATTCATTTTTCACAGGGCAAGTAAAAATTAGGAACAACTGGCTAGCAGGAAAAATAAATAAATACATACATACATAAATAATACTTGCTGAATCTTGTCTCCACTGTAAATTACATTTTCCAATTAAAAATGTTATGCTATTATAATTCCCTTTTTCTAAACAGATTTTGAGTATTACATACAAGCCATCAGAAATGAACATGAATCAGTTTTTAATTATGATTAAAATCATAATTAAATAATAAAATTAATCAGTTTTAAATCATGATTAACAGCTAACCCCTAATGCTCAAACACAGTACGTAAATGGAGTGAGTCATATAGAGTAGGTTTATGAATGAAGAGAGAGCGGAATAACTGCTGTCTGTTCCAGTTAGCTCTAGCATGTCTGAAGCCCTGGCTTTAGCCAGTGGGAGACATCCAGGTTGTCAAGGTCCATCCATCTGGACTGTCTCCCACATTGCCCCTGTGCGTGTCTATCCATTTATCCATCTATCTGTAGTGTTACTTGCTTTTAGAATGTGTGTTTGTAAACAGTTCCATCTCGCTCTCTGTCTCGCTCTGACATTACTATGCTGTGAGCAGAGGGGGCGAAATGTTTGTCAGTGTATGCTGGTTCACCACCAGTCAGGGCCTTCAGTCAGAGGCTAAACCGGAGCAATGTTTCTGCTGTTGTTGTGCTAGTCAGCATCACACAACTCCAGAGAGCCAGAGCCGTACACCCTGGCACCCATATCCTCAGCTTGGGGCCACCTTCCTGGAAAGGCTACTTAATTTAACCCCTCTTCTCCCGAGGTTTTCCGTGACTCCTAACCCCATCAACGCGGCACTGTAATTTCCCAATGCAAGGAAGTACAGGGACCTAAATTTGTCTTTAGTAGCACAGATATTATGTGCTGTGGCTTTCTAACATGCATTAATAATCTTTTTAATGCTCCACCAGATCACAATTTATTCAGGATAAAATGCTCTACATGGCAATATTATGAAACTGATTTAAACATAATTATTAAATTAGGCAACTGAAGAACCGGTCATGTGCTCACTTGCTACAAGATGTAACGTCTCGGTTACTTGTGTAACCCTCGTTCCCTGAAGGAGGGAACGGAGACGTTACGTCCCGTCGCCACAGTTGCTGTACCACCGCTGTACGGCCGGGGCACGTAGTCTCGGCTCCTCAGCGAAAAACTGATGTGCGTTTGCACGCGCTCTCCTTTTATACCCGCGCTGCGGGGCGGGGTGCGCGTGGCGAAACACGCACGCCAACTGTCATTGGCTTGTTTAGTTTACACTCGAAGGTGATTGGGCTCTCGGGCGAGATCCCAATTCGTCAGTCACGACTGACGTAACGTCGAACGTGACTGACTGAAAGGGAACGTCTCGGTTACTTGTGTAACCCTCGTTCCCTGAAGGAGGGAACGGAGACGTTACGTCCCGTCGCCACAGTTGCTGTACCACCGCTGTACGGCCGGGGCACGTAGTCTCGGCTCCTCAGCGAAAAACTGATGTGCGTTTGCACGCGCTCTCCTTTTATACCCGCGCTGCGGGGCGGGGTGCGCGTGGCGAAACACGCACGCCAACTGTCATTGGCTTGTTTAGTTTACACTCGAAGGTGATTGGGCTCTCGGGCGAGATCCCAATTCGTCAGTCACGACTGACGTAACGTCGAACGTGACTGACTGAAAGGGAACGTCTCGGTTACTTGTGTAACCCTCGTTCCCTGAAGGAGGGAACGGAGACGTTACGTCCCGTCGCCACAGTTGCTGTACCACCGCTGTACGGCCGGGGCACGTAGTCTCGGCTCCTCAGCGAAAAACTGATGTGCGTTTGCACGCGCTCTCCTTTTATACCCGCGCTGCGGGGCGGGGTGCGCGTGGCGAAACACGCACGCCAACTGTCATTGGCTTGTTTAGTTTACACTCGAAGGTGATTGGGCTCTCGGGCGAGATCCCAATTCGTCAGTCACGACTGACGTAACGTCGAACGTGACTGACTGAAAGGGAACGTCTCGGTTACTTGTGTAACCCTCGTTCCCTGAAGGAGGGAACGGAGACGTTACGTCCCGTC